AATCAAAATATTATATTCCTGTCACTATATACATCTCACTACAGTTTGCTATAATCTAGTCATTAAAAGAAACATTTTTTAGCTAAGAATATGGACTCTTGAATTATATTACTGAGATTTTAATAAGAACTCTAAGAATATATTTTGAATTAAATCACTTTAATTTTAGTAATTATTCCAATTTACAGTCTGTAATACAGACTGTATTTTTAATGATTTTTTTTCATAAAAGACAGATTTGCACACTAAAACATTTAATGTGCTGGAGGTAGTGTCTACATAACTTCTTTAATTCATTTAATTTTTACATTCATTTAAATTCATTTAGTCATATATGCAGAGCAATTTACCTTTCATTACAATTGTCAACTGAAATCACTTTTACAGAATCCATCTAACAAGTTTCAGACATCAATATGAGACATCAATATACAAAGAAACAAAAAGTATAGCTACTTACATCACTGGCAATTTCCCTTGATGCTTTGGCAGCTTGAATGGGGATGGCATCACCTCGCAAGTCATGGCCTTTCTTCTTTGCTTCTTCCATGGCATGCTTATAAAATTTCTATGTGAGAAATTAAACAATGTGATTGTTTCATCAGTATGCATAGACTGCTATATAGAAATACAAACGTTTTTTAAAGCTAATATTTTGAGGTTGATTATTGGGGGTAAAATAATAAAAACAGATAGCACCATCTATATGAGGTTTATCCAAATACTGATGATCCAGAAATGGTAAAAAATGGATAGACACACTCACCTCACTGTAGTTTAGCATATTCTGTTTCGCCAGTGTGATTTCAGGTGTGTCAGGCATTATATGGATTTGCGTCTTGTCTTTATCCCAGGCCTCAGTATATAAACGCTGTGAAAGAAAAGACATAGGTTAAAAAAAAGAGAAACAAAAGATGACTACCTGGAGATCTCACAAAAATAAAGATTACAGAGCTTTATTCCTTGTGAATCTTTTTTTTTTTTTTAAAAAAAAAGTCTTTCTTATCACAAGATTTTGTATTCACTCCCCTACATAATTTAGATTAAGATTCTTCAATCAACGAAGACTTCTCAAAAAAAAGTGTGGGGATTAGGATAAGGTTTTCCATGGAATGGTAACCAGATACATAGGGATCTAAGCTCTAAGGGCAAGGCCTGATCCAAAGAGAAAATAGTTTTATCAACATAAAAAGGATCAAGAATAGGCCACAGATTCCAAAAAACTCTTAAAATGTAAGTGATATCTTTAAGTATTTCAAAACACAGATATTTCAAGGATAGCTCTAAAACAACTAGTGTATTAGTTGCTAGAATACCAGGTAAATTTGATATATACTAAGATATATCAGACAAACAGATAAAATCTTATACAAATTATTAGATGAAAATGATTACTAGATAAATATGGGAACATGTGCAAAGATTCACATTAATTGATAATTGCAAATTAACTTGGTACTCTGAAAGAGATTATTAAATTAGCATATGCCAAAAATAAGGTACCTACTTACTATCAAAAGTTTAATTCTCACTTCTAAAGCTTTGCAGTCCTAAAATCTCACGCAGAAAAGAGACTTGTATTTCTAGTCCTGCGTCTCTAAGGTTTAGAGACTCTAGAGAGTGCCAATATGTTATTTAACAACCCAAGACTCACTTTATTTATCGTCTCTGCATTATGCTTGGCTAAGACCATCTCCAGGGAATCCGTGACACTGGTGAACTTGATGGTGTCGGGAGGCTGACGGTACACTTTGTCACTCAAGATCTCYCCTGCTCTCTTGGCTTTGACAACATCCAAGGAACCAATGGGCACCCAGCCAATGCCCCGCAACCATTCAAGGTCTGACTTGTAGTAATTCTATTATAAAAAACACAGAGGCAGTTGTCTCATTAACATTTCAGATGTCTCATGGAATGCATGTAAAAGCTTACTTATTGTAAAACTCCTCCTTCCTAGTTCAATATGCAGAATACTAATTGTGAGCAAACTGGATTCAAATCACAGTCCTTATCTTCAACAAGTATTATCAACAGAACAAAACATTGGGGAATGGTTGAAAAGTAATGGTGGGATTAAAGACTAAAACCTGAAAGTCAGCAGAACCTTATACAAGAAGGTTTATTCCCAGTAAATACATAGGGTCCACTATGAAAGGCATATCCTCACACAATTTTTCTTGGCAGAGAATGGAATTATGCAATTAAAAACAAAGGACTGCCATACTATGCATACTATGATTTTTCTGTTTAATATGTATTTTCTCCACGCATAAAACTTCATAAGAAGCAACCGTTATACTTAAACAGGTCCATTCATTTCTAAAATTCTTCTATAATTGCATTTAAACAGGCAAAGAAAAACAACATGGAGAAAAACTATTTATAAGAGAAAATTCAAGGAGCTTCTATAGTTTATATTCCAAGGAAATTATGTATTCATAGAATTCAACATTTACTGGTGAGTACTCACATCACTCTGTAGCTCATAGGCCTTCTTAGCATGGATAACATCATTCTGGTCTGGCAGACAGGTCCACTGATGCAGATAGTGCCGGTAATCAGCATCGCTGACCAGCTCCTGGCATTTCTTTGCCAACACAATTCCCAGCATGTCCACGGGGCTACTGAAGTGGGTCTTGGTCTTCTCAAAGGCTTTCTTGTACTCCCTGTCACTCTGGATCTTGGCTACGTGCATAGACCACATCATCTTGGGGTCATCCTCTATGTTGCGCGCTCCAATATGGTGCCCAAGCTGCTTGCGATAACCTTCTTTGTACTTGTACTGTGAGTAAAAAGATTCTCAGTCAGATTCAGATGGGGTTTCACCATCCTTTAAGAAATGACCCTGTTGAGCAATCTGCAAAGGACTTAGTGTTTGAACCCACACAGAATTTTTAGGGTGAAAAAGAATTAAGTTGATGAACAGCATTGGGCACCTAAAAAAGAACTACAGTATCCTCTGTGTAATATCACCTTCCTATTTGAAAAGGTATTCTGTTACCTAGAAATCAGGTATTATTCTTAAAAAAAACCCTCCATTCTATGATTGTAGACATTTTGAACTGCTGATATCAATAGAAAAAATAACATTCTACTAACCTACCCTTTTTAAAGCACATAGAACCATTTAGAAGCTCAAAAACTACAGTAAAAAAAGATGCTTTCAATCTGTGCTAAGCTAAAGCACAAGAGGACCTTTGCGGCTCTACTACAGGACTAAATACAAGAGTTTAATAAATCAAACATTTGATACCAACATTTTGCAAAGAAACTCATCTAGTAATATATGAACGAACAATAGACATATTTGTCACAAAAATAATATTCATATTTACAATGGCAGATCACCGAAATACTGGAGCTTATAAACACGATATATATCGATCCCTTAAAAAAAAAAAGAAACTACATTTCATTGAGGCTGTACATGAAAAGAACAGACAAAATAGAAGCACAGACTTCAACATAAAACACTACAGAGAGTGCCAGAGGAGATGACGTGAAGGATGTCCCTCTACTTACATCACTTGCTATATCTCTGGAAGCCTTTGCAGCCTTGATGGGAATGGCATCTGCTCGCAGGTCATGGCCCTTCTTCTTCT